CCGCCAGTATCCAGAGTGTCTTGATGGTCCCACAGATCAAGCTGATCATACAGTCATCCGCATAGTTAAAAATATGTAGATATATATGTAGGCAAATCGTATAGGCCGGATGCAGATGCACTGCGCGTTCCCTGGTCATCGCTAACGGTTTTCCACAGCTTCTTGGACACTGTATCACTGACTCCATGGGGAAACTTTGCGCACGTCTATCGTCACCCCTCGTCTTACTGATGGTGGTCTAAAAAAAAAGGCCATCACATCATGATACCAAAAACAAAAGATAGGGCATCGTAAATAAAAAAAGGTCGGTGCAGAAGCTCCCATCGTTGACATGGTGTTGAGCCAGGCGGAACTCCGTAGTTTGTCGGTTCCTGGACAGGGGAAGGGTGTTTGGAGCCATTATCCCATCCTATGAAGGAGAAATGAAGGATAACAGTTTCCCGAGTGAGGAATGTTGCAGCCGTTCGTATCGATTGACTTTCATAGGTCAATCTCTTGACCAGGAGAACGAGGTTGGGTCAAGGATCAGGGAATCGTGGCAGGGAGGGATGAGGGAAGGGCAGACTCGTTCCAGGGGCCATGAAGGAGAGAAGGTGGAAACAGGAGATCCCCTTACTGGTGGATAATTTTCCCTTCCCGATACGACCTCTCTGTTCGCCAACTGAACAGGCAGATCCGAGCAAGGGCAGGCTAATTTCCAGTTCGCCCAGGGTAAGGTCAGATAACGAGCATCTTCTCTGTTTGATCATCGGGCGGCGAGGATCATTTCTGGGATGCTGTAGCAAGAATTTGGCCTTGCTGACGGTGAGATTCCCGCTGACCAGCTACACGATGTTCACTGCACGGTCCGTCGCTGTCCCCTTCCATCCCGCGATCTCTCTGCCAGACAGTCAAGATTTGTTCAAGCCCCAAATGAGTATGATGATGCAAGTCCTGTTTTGGTGTTCGTTAGTTAAGCTGAAGAATCCGTCTTTTGTAACTTCGTATTATCCTTGCTTTTTCTATTATTTTGCTTTTTTGTTGTTATTGTCTTTACTTTTTTAATTTTTTTTATATCTTTCGTGTTTTATTTTATTTTCGGTTGAGCCTCGAGTGACCACGTGATTTCTATTTTGGGTTTAGCGTATTTCTTATTTTTTCTTCGTTTCTTCCAACGTCGCGAAACAAAACAGCAGCAAAAGACAGCAAAGAGACAGCAAAGACAGCAGCAGCCGGGGCGACGGAGCTGACGACGAAGAGGCATAAAAAAGTTGATGTGGATGGGGGGTTGATTG